CGACCATGCAATTGGCGTGTGATAGTTTCTCACATCAGTTGAAATGTATAGGGCAGAGACTCCCATGAAGAGGGGAGGCCTAGAGCCGTTGCATTCCTCATCATCGACCTTTGAACACCGCTACGTTGGTAACTAGGCGACAATGACACTGAGCATCCCTACGATGGTCACTCTCGCTACGCCAAATGGCAAGGCAACTAGGCCTCCCCCTCTTCATGGGAACCTTCGCCCTCGTTGGCCTTATCATCACCTGCCATCTTCGACCGTCCAACCTTATTCAGCTCCACTCAACTGACGACACACTCACAAAAACTGCTCGTCGTTAGAAAGAAAAAAAAAATATTAAAATTATCTTTTTACCCATCACTTTCGTACCGATCTAGCACATTATATCACATATTGTGTTTTCCGTCAATGGCTGACGTCATTAGGACAAATGAGATCATTTGTTTTATTTTTAAAACTATAGAGATCTCAATATAAATTTTTTTAAGTGCAGAGACAACGATGCTAATAAGGTCCAAGTACCAGGGTAATATGTAATTAGCCCTAGTTCAACCTAATCATCATGCATTTAAAAAAACAGCAGTTCATCATCTTTTAAAAGTTTTTTTTTTCTGTTACTTTCCTCCGCCAGGTAAAACTATAAAACATTTTTCTCCTAATTACACGAACTTACCTACCTTTCTGGTCACAATAATAAACTCCGGACGATTCTGTTTGCGAAAAGACCTCGAATATAAAATGACGAGAGCCATGAGGAAAACACTCGGATAAATCACGAAGACAAACGCTGTATCAAAAACCATGAACGAATGATGCTACGAGAGAAGAAAACATTCGCAAATTTGGGCAGATCGAGACCCTAAGCTCGCGATGTTTAGATTGGTGAAAAGAACAGAAATGGTAGAAAGAGAGAGAACGAGGAAGAGAAGCAGGAGGGGAAACCTCGCACTGGTCGATGATCATGGATTCGGTGGCCCTGTAAGCGGATCTCCATGCGGCGGAGTCTCTGAAGGCGAGGACGAAGGGGCCAGCAGCGGGATCGTCGGCGGGGCCGGCAGGCACGGGACCTCTGAGGAGCGGGCGCGCCGAATCGAAGGGGACGACGGTGGCAGACGCCGAGAACTCCTCCATGTCGCCCCGCAGGACCGCCGCCACTTCCTCGTCCTCCATTAGGGTTTGTGCAGAAGCTCCCCAGCGATGGGAGTGTCAATAACAGCTCGCGCGTCATTTATAGAGGGATCCGTGTACGTCGCATGAACATGCGACGGGCATTTTGGGCAAAATAACAAATATATCATAAGCTTGCAATCATAATCTTATATTTCGTAACATATGGCATTTTGGGCAAAATAACAAATATGTCATAAGCTTGCAATCATAATCTTATATTTCGTAACATATGGCATTTTGGGCAAAATAACGACACATCATTTATTAACATATAACTTCATAACATAATATAATAATAGAGGTAGCATAAAAAGATAAACTCTCCTACAAAATAATTTGGAATACATATACACATGGGTAGGTCATATCTCCTATAATAGATAATCATAGTATATTCATAAACTCTCATATCACACATCATCACATTTATTTATGTGCATTCTCATATCACTATATATTAATACATTAAACATATTGTATCGTTATATTTATGAACTCGAATTGCATCTTTGCCGCTTAACCTTAACCAAAACAAAAGAAAAAAACATTGCAATCATAGATTTATCTTTAACATTATGAAATCATACTCGTCAATTAGCAGCAGCAGCAGAATTTTTCAAAGGGATGTTCCAAAGATATCGACTATTTAGATATCATTATCGTGTCTAGTGTTTACAATTCTGAGAACATTTATTTGTTATTCTTCTAACAATGATTTTTCATTCCGAGATGATGGATAGCTCAGCGGAAGATGAAATCAAGCAAGTCTGTGTTTCTGAAGTGGAATCCACGGAGGAAACGAAGGGTTTTGGGGGCATCGGCAGGCTGCTCGCATCAGCTTCCAGCATTTCCAACACCTTTGCCATTGTCGGTCTCTCCGATGGCTTTATTTGGATGCACCACAATCCAACCACCGCCAGCTTCTTCTCCAACTCCTCTATCTCCGAGGTGTCGTCGAATTGGATCTCCTGCTGCCGAGCGAGCTTATCGTATATCCACGAAGGATAGTAAACCTGGCTCGAATTCTCTGCACGAGGATTCACGTTCCTCCTCCTTCCTGCCATCTCCATCAGCAGCATCCCAAAGCTATAGACATCGGATTTGTGCGATATGATTCCAAAGCTCCTGGAGATCAACTCGGGAGCTATGTATCCCACCGTCCCCCTGGCGGCACTGACTGACACCAGATTGTTGCCCTTGGGATACAGCTTTGCGAGTCCGAAATCAGAAATCTTGGGCGTGAAATTGCGGTCGAGGAGAATGTTATGAGGCTTGATGTCGAAGTGCAGAATCTGCATGTCACACCCTCGATGCAAGTAGTGGATGCCGCGGGCGACGCCCATGGCTATGTCGATGAGCTTTTCCGAGGTAAAAGTGCGGGCCGTGGTTGGTTTGGAAGCGAAGATGTACCTGTCGAGGGAGCCATTGGGCATGTACTCGTAGACGAGCGCCCGCTTGGATCCCTCGGCGCAGTAGCCGACCAGCCTCACCACATTCACATGGTGGATCCTGCCGATGGTGGCGACTTCGCTGATGAACTCGTCGCCGTTGCATTTGGAGTTGCCGAGCAGTTTGACGGCCACGAGAAGGCCACCGGCGAGCTCGCCCTTGAACACGGATCCGAACCCTCCCTGGCCTAGCTTCTGCCTGAAGTGCCGTGTGATGGCGACGATGTCGGTGTAGGCGTACCTGGTGGGCGTCAGCGTTTGCTGAGCGCGGAGGAACTTCTCCACGGTGTCCACGGAGGCTCGGCTGACCCACAGTTTGTGAAGAAGGAAGACACAGAGTATGATCGGCGCCATCACGAACCGGCATAGTATCAACAGCACTGCGTAACAGAGGAAACAAAGGAAGCTGAGAACCAGAGAGTAGCATGCAGTGCAGAACGAGGAATACCAGTGGGACATTACCTATCAAGAGCTGTACAATCAGAATGAGTACGGTTACAGCAATAGTAATCCTAGAAATGAAAGTGCGGTAGAAGTGATCTTCCATGCAGGATTTAAAATGAAGCTCACTTCTGACCACGGAGTAGACGATGGATAGTAGCTGCTTGCTGGTTATTAGGTCGGAGAACATGCTGCATGAGATGAACGGAAGAAGTCAGCTACCGCTCGAATGAGGAACACGCGGGGCATCTCAACATCATGCAGGGCGGCAGCTGCTACCTTGTGGCTTCTTTCAGACATCGGTGAATTATGGTAGATTTCCTGTTTCTTCGAGGAATATTACAATTGAACCCCTTCTGCAGGATTCTGAATGCGTCGATCGATGAACTCGGTGGTATCACAAATGCATCATCAGCGACCGGAATCATTGATTGATACTCGCACCCCGGATGAAGGTAGAACAGTTCATCTACATTTAGGCCAACGATGACATAGACAAACGTGTCCTTGCTGCTCAGACAGGAAAGGAGGTGATACCGTGTGTCGTTGTGGATCGGCTCGCTGCAACTCATGTAACTGGCCCAGTAAACTGAATCGCAATTGATTTCGGTAGCCGACATGTTGTCGAAAGAATACGATTGCGTAGGGAGACCACAACTTCCATTGGCGAGGTTAGGATCCACCAGCCGGATCCAAGCAGAATAGGACGATCTGTACGATATCTGAGTGACGAAGTAGTCTGCAGAGCCAATCCTGAAGGTAGATCTGTTGGCGTCGCAGCTGAGTTGGTAGGTTGTCACCCCGCAGATGGATGGATCATCTTTGCGACGGAAAGGGTATTTGACGTCCCGGAGCTGCCCACAGGAGAATGGAGGGCAATCTTCTTGTCTTGCAGCTGCTAATCCAGAAAAGAGGAGATGCAGCAGCAGAAGCAGAGGAAAGATAGCTGATGCTTCGGTGGCGGCCATAGGCAAACGGAGAGAGCAAGCCTCCTCTTCACAGCGGTCGCTTTTGGCGGCTTCTCGATCTTTCGTTCACTGCATAATTCCGAAAGAAGACCAAAGTGTTCCCTTTCTTCTTCTTCCACATAAAATAAATTAGATTTATCACTCATTAGAAAAGTAATAAATTAGATTTATTATAAAATAATAAAGAAGGGGATGTAGCTCAAACGGTAGAGCGCTCGCTTTGCATGCGAGAGGTACGGGGTTCGATACCCCGCATCTCCAAAAAGCTTTTAAGATTTTTGTGTTTGTGTTTTAGCTAACAGAACTTGTGCTACTTAACTATTTAAGTACTCACTTCTTCCAGCAAATTTGCTGCTGCATCAAAACTCCACCAAGCTTAGAATATAAGATTTGGAAACATAAAACATTCTGACCATAAACAAAATCAGTAGCTAACCTGATTTGTTCAGCACCAACGGAAGAATTATACAAAAGATAGGGGTCTTTGATGTGGTAATTTATCTTGACCTGTTCTTGACAATCTGCACTGTATCTGCAAGAATCCATGCTTGTTGTTAACCTCAACCATATGTAACTTTGTTTCTGGATGTTTGAGAGGTTATGAAATGCTAAAGAAAAGGATTCTGATCACTGACCACCCATAAAGAAACAGAAACAGCTTCTTGCTCAGGAGCATTTTGTAGTCATAATTAATTGTTGATGGTATTTTTTTCTGAACAAAGTGTTAATAACATTCTTTTTTGGGAAGATATGAGTTCACTAAGTTAATAATAGTACATTATTTTTCCATCAGTGTATGCAGTGCTTCATGAAATAGTTACAATAAAAGATCCTGATATATGCAGAAAAACATACATAAGAATACAAAGGACTGTTTCATGAGTAAATATAAATAGTAGCAGGGAATAAACAGAACAATAGAACGGATCTTTCCTTCTCATTTGTATAAATCAATTGCAGAATACCATATTCTTGCCTGTTCTTGTTCTGATGAATTTTGATATACAAAGACATGTTACAAGTGGAGAAAATACTGCACTTGGGATAAAACAACATTGCGTTGCCAATTGGCAAATTAGCTTAATATATTATAGACATCAAAATCTACAGCAACTGACAGATGACAAGGTGGATGAGAATCCACAAATAAAGAACGAAAAGACAAAAGGATATTATATAACACACTAAAGCCGCCATATTGCATCTATTGGAAAATTGTAGCAATACACCTCTCCAGCTTCAAGTTATTTAGTATCACCTTGGCTTGGATTCCTTGCTCCGGAATGAAGATAGAGAGAAGAAAGATCGTGGTGCTGCAAATATTTGAACAACGGATCAAACAAGTCAATTTAACATTTCGGCAAGCTCTCAGTAAATACAGAGAATAGTGGTTTTATCATTCAGCATGGTCTGAGAAGCCAGATGTGAGTATGCTGTGTACATTTTTCCAGACTTAATCATGTTTACTTGAGTATCTAAACAAGACACTGTTGTTACCTTTCAGGGAGCTTCCAGATAGATTGTCCTTTCTCAATTTGAAGTTTGCTGGAGGGTTTGGAATGGAGCTGCGTAATGATAGGGCTGCACAGAACTAATCGCTTCAGCTATCATGCTTAACATAACTAAGAGAAAGATTCTGAATCCCAAGTACTATCTGGTTTGCGATGAACATTTTTATAGGTTAGTTCGGAGGCCACAAGCATATGCAGTTACCAATCAGAAGAAACAAGTCAAGATGCCATCAGGGTATTTATTACACAAATCAAAGACATGAGAAGATAGTTTCTGATTGTCATCAACCACATAAGCAAGCAATGAATTGGAATAGCATACCTTTTTCCTATATGGAGTTATATGGTTAACCAAAAGGTTCAAAATACAAATCTTATTGATATTTACATCCTCTAACAGCTCAAAGAACATAAGATAATTAATTGATATGGGTTTAACAGCCACCGCATCCTCAGATTATGTCAGATATCCACCAGTTACTCCCATGTTTGAGCCTCACGTTTTTCTCCTAAAATCTATGACTCACAATTCAAAGAAAAAGGAAAAAACTATTTATGGAACTGATAACTTCGTCTACAAACAAGCAGAGTGATAATCTAGACAAGCAAGTCTTTTTATAGAACTCAAGCATGATAAAAATAAGTAAAAGCTACAAGCCAACATCTAACAATGATTGTTTGAATAGGCTTTGACTACAAAAATCAAGCATCACATAGGCAACTGATAACTTCGTCTACAAAAATCATGCATCACATAGTCAAGCCAATATCTAATAATGATTATTTGAATAGGGTTTGACTAAAAAAATCAAGTGTCACATAGGCATCTGATAACTAATTCTACAAACAAGCAGAGTGATAATCTAGACAGGGAGGCCAACTGGTGGCCCAAACCCTATTTGCCAGAGGGATGGCACAGTCCCATTGTCATATAGATTATAATGTACCAACCAAAAAAAGAAAAGGAAAAGGTAGAAAGAAAAATATAAGAAATGTAGAAAAACCTGCTTTTGTCTGCAGCATCGAGGTTCTTCAATTCTATGATATCATCTGATACTAGCCAAAGGAAAGGGTCACATTCACGGGTCAAGCCTTATAGTAGTCCCATGGAATAAAGAGGTGAATGTTAGATTTTGTCAGCCAAACCCTCCTTTATCTTAAGGGAGAGACTAATAAGAGGAATCAACATATTTACCCAATAGAAACTGACCCTAATTTTATATAAAGTGAGACTAGTAAAGGAACCAACAAATTTTGACCAGTAAAAGAAAATAATAGGTAAAGGTCAATAGCAAGTTCTAGCCTTGACGTCACAATGAATTGCTTCTTTGCAGTCCTGTGATCAGAGTTTGAACCATGGAAACATCCTCTCTTGTTATAGAGGTAAGGCTGCATACATTAATCCTCCCTAGATTCTGTGTTGGCAGGAACCTTATGCACTAGGCTTGTCTCTGTGTAAGTGAGCCCTGTCTCCATGTTGGGACAGTACATACTAGTTACTATCTGACATGGAGTGGCACAAGGTTATCAGGAATCCTTGGTTTAGCATACGTTGGACTCCAGTAAAATATCGTGATCCAAGGAATCATAATTTTACAAACATAAACAGAATTTCATTTATCATACAGGACAAGAAAGCTACCTTGTTCAGGAAAGATCTCACCATCAGTGAACCTATCATGGGGGAGTGCATGTTCCATTTTTGGCTTCCACAGGTCATTTTCTGGTTGTGCTGCCAAATCATGACCATCTATTGTTTCATCACCACCTTCAGAAGCTGTCAAAGCAGACACCCAATTGGTGACTTGACTCTCCACTCCCTTACTTTTCCTCCCAAATTTCAGTATTCGTTTGAAACCTTCTGTGACATCCATGCATGATTGTTGGGATGCATTGGCAACAATCATAGGCATCTGAGCAGTTCCCCATTTTTTTCTCATTCGAGAAGCATCTGTCTCCATTGTCTGATTCAGTGGGTGTAAATTCCATGATGCTGGACTGCCTACAGGTGAATCTATAGAGGCATGAATTTCTGATGCCTCGTGTACACCAGAAAATGACTGGTGGAGGTGTAGGTCCCATGAATGAGGACTTTCTCCAGGTGACTCTTGTTCATTCCTTGTAGAAGTACTAAAGATAGGAGAATCAGGAACTGTATCATAATCTGCTTGAGATAGAGACCTTTGAACATCGTTTTCTGATCCAAAAATATCAGAGCTATTGTATCCTTGATTGTTTCTTGGCTTTTCACAATCTAAGATGAGAAAATCTACAGCCTTAGCATCTCCTTTGGCTAATGATATCTCTGTCTCCAGTACATCTTTAACCAGGCTGGATGAGTCCTCTCTATGAACTATACCCTCAAAAACCAGTCCATTCTTTTTTACCTTTGAAACTTTACAGGTTTTAGGTTTATGTATATTAGCTCCTAAACCAAGACCTGTAACTTTCTCTTTCCTGATTAAAGATTTAGCCTCCCTGCTCCTCTGGACTTTATCAATAAAATTAGCATTTGTTGGGCCCTTGGAAACCCCTAAGGGTGTGAGATCAGCGGTATCAGAATTGAGAGAAGAAAGGTCCTTCAATTCACTGGGTCTAGCTGTCCTTTTTCTCATGGAATGAGACCTTTGTGGCTTCTCTTCCTTAACAAGGTTAGCCGCTTCAATGATAATCTTGCTTCGAGAAAATATTTTTCTTTTCTCTCGAGTGCTTACTCTGTTATTATCAGTGAATGGCTTTGCATTTTCCTTTATGAAGTCAGAGAAGTTGGGAAGTGATTCAGCAAGAGGATTTTCAGTTTGCGTCCTGCACTTTATGGGAACTGATTTGATAGATTTTACAGAAGGCTTCACTTCTGTCCAAGGCGTGGATGAAGACAAAGTTTTCATAGATAAAAGCTCCATGAGGTTAGTAATTTCAGAAGCATTATCACCAAAGAGATCATTGAATGATATATCTTGGCCATTATCAACTTGTTCGCGAACTTCCTCCAGATCTTCCTCTTCCTGAACAGACTTGACTGCCTGCTACCAGAAAGGTATCCTTGTTTAGTCAAAAACCATCACCTGTATATATATGTTTAAGGGAAAGACCACAGACAGCAAACCACCACAAGTAATAAGCAAATACAAAAGAGCTATATAAATTCTTGCTAAGAATAAAGGGAGTACACATATTATAAAATGTTACAGAATTGCCGGCTACCCAACAGATAATAATGATTTAAGATAATAACAATTTAAGAAACCACATATTTGATTGGCGTCAATCATAGAAATGAGAAGCTAAATAATTTTAGTATTAGAAGAATCAGACAAGCTATGATGCCATTCGTTTGCCACAGTAAATATTTTGGCATAGATCTACATATCCAACAGCACTAACACAAGTAGGACAAATGAACAGTTTCAGTTTTTCAAGTTCACTGAGTATTCTGAAGTTGCAATGTTAGACCCTATCCATTTAGATCTAAAGATCTCACAAAATATCTGGAAATTAGAATGCAGCTATAGTATGATAACTCTAAATGAAATTAACGCATATACATGAAACTAAAGGATGGCTACTAGGAAAATCTACCTGGTTTTCGCTTCTTAAAGCTGGATTGTTGCTAAAATATCTCAGCTTTTCCACTCGGCGATGTCTATATCTTGAACACTGTCTATCAGCAGATCCTGAATATATGGAATTCATCTCAGCCTGACTACAATCAAGGCTGTCATGCATTGCCTTCATTTTTGCTTCCTTCTGAGCCCCTTTTATTCCCCACTCTTCCTGTAGCTTCGCATTCCGTTTTTGCATGTACTTATAATAGAACTTTCCTCTGGAATCATCTGATGGACTTAGTGTACCAAGCGCTTGGTTTATATGACTATCATTTTCCTCATTGCTTACCATCTTCAACAAGAAATTGGCATCAAAGTCTATCTCACTGTTAGAAGTCTCCCTCAGAGGGTTCGTCTCAGGCAGTTGACCAGGAAGTGCCACCGCAAGTGTTTTCTCCACAGCCATGGGAACATGTTTGTCTTGGACATTCACAGGTCTATTTCTTCGAGAGGAAGCTGTTTGCTCACTGAGTGTTCTGAGCTTGTGTTCAGCAAAATGCTTTTCTAACTCATTCGCCTTCATCCGTAATTCGTCATTTAACTCTTGATTTCCTTTTGATGGTCTTGCCACCTGAAGTTGCCCCGCCAAGTGTGCAGAAGGTGGTTCAACCATCTCCAGCATTTCCTTAGCCTTCCTTAGAGGAACTGCAGGCATGCAATTTATTTTAGTATCAGCTATTTCATCAACGCATCTCTCAGGATTAACTGCTTGATGCCAATTTATTCCCTGGTGATCGGTATCTTCCTTTGTTTTAACTAGAGAAGATCCAAAAGTTGCATGAGAAGCAGCAGCATTTCCACCCCCTTCTTCCTCTACTCTTGAAGGAGAAGTTTTCCCCTCAGATTGATAAGCCAGTAAGTTATTTTCTGAAGACAGAACTGATGAATTTCCAAACTGAACCGGAGAATCTGATGGTCCTTTTGGTTTCACTAAAGGATTTACTCTTTTTTCAAATGTCCAGAATTGGTTAACTACCTTTGGTTGATCCTTTATTCCAGCACTAGTTGCACGAGAAGGAACCTCTCTAGTTTCGGTCTGCAGGCTTTCTTGATCTCTCGATCTAACCTGCTTAGTCACACATAACACAGGTTGTGATATATCCAGCAAAGTTTTTTGGTCTTCTATTTGCACTTGATCCTCTGCTTTTAGTTGGATGTGACACACTGCATAATCTTTCAAGCCAGCATTGCTGCTGGTCCCTAAAAAGCCTTTTTGGTGGACCATAGAAGCATCTTGATCACCCGATCCACAATACTTCATCCTGCTCATAGATGCACTCAGGTAACATGCATCCTGCCCCCTCTCCAAGAATTGTTTGCCCTTGTTCAAAGAGAACTTGATATCTTCATCATCAGTACAATCTCCAGTGCTGGGAGAAGCTTTAAACTGGGACTGTGACAAAAGCAAAGAATAAGAGGAAGTGTCTGTTGTGCTTTTTTCGAGATCCAACCAGCATTGTGATGTTGCAGTATCCTCAAAACCAGAAACCTCAGCTTCTTCAGTTTTACTCATAGACTGAAGCTGTAAATTGGCAGATGTCGGAGTTCCGACATCACTCCCACTTTCTTTCTGGTCATTAAAGCTTTTACTGCTGCTGCTGCTAGGATCAATGCTCATGTCACTGGCACCACTCCACCTCCTCAATACTGATTTCTCTGAAACATCAGAAGGGAGCCTCTGCTGCTCCCCTTTACCGGCTAGTACCTTATTAATAACACCAGCTGTGCTGATATTTCTAGAACTTGCAGATTGTTCTTTCTGCTTGCCTTCAAAGAGGTTGATGCGGTCCTGCACACTAAGCCGTCTGAAACTCGCTCCACCCGATTGAGCTGGCACATTGGCTGATGAAGCAGGAGGAACGGGCTGCTCCAGCATTGCTCCTTCCAAACGCTGTTTGATGAGCTTGGCCTGCTGAGATGTGCCTGATAACGGTGTTGTGTTAAAATGTGATGGTTTGCTAACGTTGGGATTGTGAAGCTGAAGACCATCACCATCTGGTGGTTTGCCACCACCACCGTGCACCAATTCTGGCTCATCTATTGACATGTCTGTGTCTAAGCTTGACGAGGATCTAATATTTCCATTGGCCGAGCTTTCCATAGCCTTTGACTGCTGCTGCTTGCCAATAAGCTCAGGATGTCTTTGAGAAAGCAAGATGAACTTTTTGCATGCTTCGCTGTTGCCAATGTCATGCAAGTTTCATAATATAAATTATCATCATTGTCAGTTTAAACAGACATTAAAAGATACAGGAGAAAGAGGAAATAGATGAACAATTACAAACAAGAACAGGAAATTCAACTGAGAACCTACTAATCCAACATCAAGAACCTCAACAAATAAAAGAGGCCCTCATGAAATTTGAAGATAGAAGATATTTACACCTAATGTAACTAGATTATATGTTTAATGATCAATCACTACTATATAAAAAACTTACTCGTAACATAGCAAGATTATTTATTCAATGATGACTAACCACTATTATGTTTTTTTTCTCAAATGATAATTGTTCATATGAGCAGTAAATTCAATGACTAACATTCTAGTTGACACATCATCTAACTGTAATTCAGGACAATCTGATCATAAAACAATAAACTGTCGGTCAGGAAAAAGGATGTTTAAGACAAGAATTATACTCATTATCTGGGGATAACATCAACACCAAACTTTGCAAAAACACCTTGTAAAATTTGAAAATGGATAAGATTTACTCCTAACTTAACCAAATTATATATTAAAATGGTCACTCACCTTTATATATAAAATTTATTCCTAACATAACTAGATTGTTTATTCAATGATGACTCACCATTATTATGTCTTTTTTCAATGATGTTTGTTTACATCGGTGGTAAATCAATCAAATTCAATGCCTACTATTCTAGTTGACACATCATACAATTGTAATTCGGGACAACCCCATCATACCACAACAAACCATGGGTTGGGAAACAGGATGATTAAGACGAAAGTGATATTCAACATATAGGGATAACATCAACACCAAACCTTTCAGAAACACTGTATCACGGTTTCCAGATCCATGGACTGATCACAAGCCATATGGAGGAATCATGATGACATCCCTCCACAACTGTTAGATACTTAAAAATAGATGCCCCAGCCACTAAGATTGATCCACACCATGTCCTAACTTGCCTCTACCAACCAACTTACAAGCTAGATGGTACCAAAGTAAAGCCAGTGTATGCAAGGTGGGCTGACCTGCATAGCCCTCAACAATGGAGTCTTTTTTTGACTCTATGACAAGCCAAAGCGGCGAATAATGTGGACTGTTAATTTACATGCATTTTTAATGTTAACAGCAAGAACCTATTAAGATGTTGCATTCATTGATAAAATTAGTCACTCCTTCACCAACTTTCTACAAGCTTTGTTGTATTATTATTTTAATAATTCTTACTGTATTTTCTTTGAGTTGATCCTTCCTGCATGTCCATGCTTCTGTCATCAGTCCTGATGAAAGTAATCTGATAATTACTAGTGAGGACTACAATATGCAACCTCAGTACGCCGATCATCATGAGTATCCAAAGTCCAAACTAAAGTTTTTGTCAGTCAAGGTGTGTATATGACAAAAAAGGACAACCACCCAGCACATTTGCTCAAAATCCCAATGGTAAAATCACCAACGAGCTTGATAAATTTCGGTGTCACATACACAGTGCTCCAACATACATACAATCTGTTTCCACTGATTGTGACAAAAAAACAACACAACTTTCAGATGTTAGGAATAATTGCAAACAAAAGTTGCACTCATACATTAGAAGGGAGACCCAAACCAGTCAGATTTATAAAAGCTAACCGGCAGCAAGCAAGGGTAATAATATGATAATGCATAGATTGAGTAACTAAGACTGATTTTTGTTTGAACTCTGTTAAAAGCTAGGATTTTATGTTAATGCATAGATTTAGTAACTAAGACTGAGTCAACCTGATACAGTCATGGCATGTCTACATGATCATAAACAAGAACAGCATGTGTCATACAGAATAAGGATGATTGAGATCATATAACCCATCATATTATACAAGAGAAGGGCAAGGGAGGAAATCAGACTAATCGGAGCCGTCACATCATAACATGGTGCAGCACCCTGAGCAGGCAAGGCATGATAGGGCTGTACAGAGCTGTGTCACTACCTCCAATTAGTCTGATTTCCTCCCTTGCTCTGCTCTTGTATATTATGTTATTAACTATGTGCATATGCCAATTGTTACTTTCTGTTGCTAGTTGATATAATGTACTGTATTTATGGTTGACTCAAATCATCCTTATTTTGTATGACACATGCTGTTCTTGTTTGTGATCATGTAGAAATGCTGTGAATGTATCAGGTTGACTCAATCCTAGCTATTCAATCTATGCATTAACATATTATTCTGTATGATTTGCTTGACTCGGTAACTGCCAAATCAGTTAAAAACTAGGATTTTATTTCCAATTGTCTGAAAAACATGATATATAGAGTTTAAAGTTGCAAAACTTACTTAAGATGATCTGCATCAAAGTATTCAGCAAAGAGAAGAAGCTCGGAGACATTTTCGATAGAAAATCCAGCAGAAAATGCACGGGCACAAGCAGTGGCCAGGTCTTGCTCAAGAGTAGTAAGCCGGAGATCAATGGTTCTTAGAAGCTCCATCCTGTGGAGGATTAAAAAAATAGTTCGATATTAATAACCAAAGAAACAGGAAGTAAACTTTATGTGTTAGTCATTTTTTCTGCCAACTTCAGTTGATTGTCAGACTTGAAGCTTTTAGCTAATGGATATTGGAAGTTGCAAAACATAAAAGGACTCGTTGGCTGATTCATTTTAATTTTTCACCAACTAGGAGTCTGGGACATGTTCCCATTTCAGAAGTTAAATTCATGATAACATTCAGTGGGAATTAAAAGAAATCAAGTTGCAGGATTAAGAAAAAATGAATCAGTAATAAGTCAGTCAAACAATCATTAATCCATAATTTTTATGATTTTACAAAAATTGACATCCTATAACAGTGTAGTCAAGAAAATGATTCAAATTAATAACTAAGATATTACCAGAAACCATTCTAGTAATTGACAATGCTTAATTTGCTTTGCTCAGTGTTGATATTAATTGATTCACTTCAAAAAATTTGACAAATTCATTGTCTGTTCAGTGTAAGCAATTAGATGAGGAGCTCACTTTGTTGTATCTACAGTTGCCGTAGTAGATGTGTCAACTGCACCTGAGGGAAATTCCAAAGATAATTCTTGTTAAGAAGAGATGCAGTTTATGGAAGTTACACATCAAAAGAAAAAAAAAAGATAAACCAAACATGAGTAATTTCCAAACAGAAAAATACAAAGACTGAACCGATGCTTGAAATCTTACAGACACAAGAAATATATCAGACATAGGAATTCAGAGGACTATGCATAACAAGGTGGTTATGTTGTAGATATTTATTATTATGGAAGATACCATATAATACACATCACTCTAGAAAAAAGAGTGGAAGCAAAATAGTATGAAAGGGCATACCTAGAACACGAGGCTCCCGCCAATGCGGGATCGGGGAAGGGTCAACATACGTAGCCTTACCTTTAAATATTTAAAGAGATTATTTCCGTGACTCGAACCCTGGTCTCCCAGGTCGCATAGGAGCAACCTTATTATGGTACCATTGTACCAAGTGGAAGCAAAGTAGTGATAGATACGAAAAGATTAAACATGATAAAAACATGTTAGTTTTCAGAAAGCAAATCACTACATGCTCTCATTCACATCATGTACATTTTCCACTCTGAAATTCCACGTTATTGCTCATAAAGTTGTAATCATAGTATTGTGATGGCCGTTGGTGATCAAATATCAGCATATTTTATAGAATATCCACAATATACTATTTTCATTCATTTCAATATTTGATATTTTGAGTACTTTGAGATTCTGATTAGCATCTTAGTTTATATATGTAGATAAAATTCCAAAAACATGACTTTCCAAAACAAATGCAAAGTAGTAAAGGACCATCAAAGCATTATGTTCAAATAAATTTTTTTCAAAGCTCATTTTCATCCAGATGATTAAAAAGGTTGCCTCTTGCATATTAAGGAAAACAAGGAAGAAAGACACGTAAAAACCATATAATGGTTTTAAAGGTTAATGGAATAGTATAGAAGTTGCTCACAGTGACAAAATCATCTATGTTTGAAGAATACGCTTAGACACTGGTAGAACATTTAAGCATAAATAACACACATCCAACATATGCTGTAGATATCCAGAGAACAGAAAATTTAGTGAGTAATTTTTCATCTCACAAAGGAAAACCAAGAACTCGGATCTAAAGGCTTACATTAAATGCTAGAACTTGTAATGAGACAACACAAACAGGAAAACTCTACAGTCTACATAATCCACTCAAGAAACAAAGTCAGTATTTAGAATAACAAGCAGAAACAAAAAAAAAAAAAAAAAACATACCAAGTGTCCCAGCAAGCGGATCTCCTGCACCCTAGATCAGAAAGTATTATGTATTCAGACAATGCCAAGGGGAAGTTGATTCAAATTGAAATTAAATATGTTCGTCAAACACGTTACCTGTGAATATATTCTCCTGGCTCCTTCCAACTGTGACATTTCTGCATCATATGCATTGGCTAATTCCAGCACCTCAGGTGTACTGACAAACCGAACAAACCTGCAGCAATGCTTATTCTTAGGAAAATTGAACAAAAATTCTTTTCCGAGCAACTAATATCTTGGGAGAGCAGGAAAATCATAATAAAAACTGGCGCAGAGACTTTGTATTTGACGAATAAAAATTACAGCATTATCCCTATTCGACTCTACCTTTCAAGGGTTCCTTTGTTGAACCATGAGTCGCCATTCGTTGATCTCTGGACCTCAAGTTTTATTGACTTGCCTCCCTGTGCAGCCTGCTGTTCAGCAACCTTCAAATGAGTGATGAATGAGTTCAACAAACCAGATGCAAGCTTCTCGGTCTTCCCGTTTCCCGAGATGAACAGCTCGCACCTACAAAAATTGATTCTATTCAAGGCATTACCACAACACGGCATCAAAAAGTCCATCTCGACGGAGCATTCTCACCGTGACCGCCTGGGAGACAGCTGGAACACGGCGTGATCCAGCGGAGAATTGGAGTCCATTATTCGACCCAGCAAATCATCTCCTTTGTCAGCTCAATGTGAGGCCCCCCTCCCCCTCAATCCAAAATCCCCAGCCCCACAAACCCTGCAAGACCACAAACAAGTTCGCTAACCCTCTAATTCCAAGGAAATCACAACTTGTAGACCACATCAACATCAAAGCGCGACACAAATCAACCGCATCAAAACATCCACCGGACGATCCGCCACGGAACCAAAACCAGACGCTGATTCGCCCACGGATTTCCACAATGCGGGAAGCATCAAAAGGCGACGGGACAGGGCCGATCGCGTCAAGAACGCACCTCGACGTCGCGTGGGCGGTGAGGTCTTATAGCGGACGCGGAGGACAGAAATCGAATCCTTGCCAAGTGCCGAGGCTGGTGGAGGAGTTGGATTTTGGCGTTGGCTTTACTCCTCTCAATCCATCTCCCCCTTTTCTTACGAGGGAAGAGACGAGAGAAAGTGTGTGCGTGAAGGTGGCGCTTTTTGGACAGCTTCTCAGCTGCTATCGTTACAAACAGAATCCCATAAATGACCTAATCGGCACAGATAAGAATTGTACTTTTTCTTTTTCTCACTATTTTTATTTGGGCCAATTTCGAGCCACAAATTTTATCTATTTTCCTTAATTTGACAAAATTTGTCTATTTATACATAATCTAGTAAAAATTAAGAGTTAATAAAACTTTGTTAATCACATTATATTGTAAAACTATATTATTGAACTCTTTATATATCAGTAAGATATTATTTAAAATAATATAAACATCTAAAATTAATTTTGATATGTATTCTAATTTTTTTTATATTTTTTTAATATTTATATTGATATGACATGGGTAATAATTTGGTACATCCTCCTTAATATCATTATCTACTGAGGGATTAAAGGTTTCACACTTTTGTTTATAAACTATTATATATATATATATATATAACCTCTCAAATATTTTTTGGTCAAATTTTTTCATCAATCTTTTATCAATTTTAAATTATGATAGTGGTCATTTACAGTATTTTTCAACAATATTTATATTATTTTATTGATATATTATTGGATTGTCATTGTTCATAGACTATTGTAATATCATAGTTTTAGATTTATAATTAGTTTGATTGAGACAGTTTGAGTTTTTTTTTAATTAAAATAATATTTGAAAAAAAGTAAAATGAGGAAATCATTTGAAAAATATTCAAAATATGATTATTTTATAAGAAAATTATATATATATATATAATTAATTAATTTTTTTGTATTGCAAATGGAACAAATTGAGTGGTAAAAAAAGGGATCTTAAACTTGTAATCAAAATATGATCTTTTGAAAAGGAGGTTGGTCTTCCTCTTCCTTTTACTATCAAATTTGGTCATTTATGAGAATTTACTACTTGGTGGAAAGATATATGTTGGGAAAGCACAGCTGATAGGTCACATTGGATGCAGTAAAAGCGGCAAAGGAATCAATCCTTCACGCCCATGGCAAATCCAACTCTAGACTTGCATTCTGATGAACTGTAGGAGCTGCATGTGACGCACTGTGGTCGAAGCATTTATTGGTAGTACCTGCAGAGCAAAGCTCAGTTCTGCTCATGGATGCTATTAGCACCGAGAATCCGGCGTCACTTTGACCAAAGTCAAGCTTCCAACGCTTACTTTCCAAAAGATAAGAGAACAGGTTCAAGAAGTGCAGCAGGTGGCATGAATTCAAGGCACACGGGGACATGAAAGTTAGGAAAAGCAGAGACCATGGCACTGTAAGGTGATGTAAAGAAGGTTGCGGAGGAGAGGAGAGGAGAGGGACGGCCAGAGAATGAGTGCCACGCACGGATTGTTAGGTATGTGACTGGCCCTTCCTGACAACACCCCCACTGTCTTCTTTCGAAGAACATGAGTGTGCAGTGTCTTATCCCACCAACACTCGCGAAGCATGAGCAAACAGTGAGTGGTGGTGGGCTTTGTGCAGTACAATTAAGTTCAGATGCTTGTAAAGCAGGATTGATTCAGACTTTCTACTTTTCGTGAAGTCTAACTAATCTAAGATCAATCTCAGTGAGGACCAACGATTACATATTACAATGTCAAAGCATAATAAAAAGTAAGGATAGTCGTTTTGAGTGCGGATCTATTTCGATATTGTGATAAGATTGATAGATCGATCAATATCGATGTATCAAAAAGAAAGAAAAAGAAGAGATACGACGGTGGATTATACTTTTCTTGCAGTGGAAGATCATGACTTGTGTTTTTATTAAGGTGGAAGTCTTCATGTTTAAGAGAGAAACATGGATTGAAGTCATGAAAATAAATTATTTGTTCAAAGAGATTTCATTTTCGTCAGATTATTATGGTTCAAATCATAGAAAAAATATTTCTATGTGCAGGGATAAAGCCACGAGGTTTCAGGTGGCCGACTTCCTTGGCCGCTGCTACTGGTGCCGGGAAGAGGCTGCACGGGGAAGACATCTGCATGTACAGGTGAATTGCATGTCGATTCAAGTGGATTGCTTTTGATGATCAAGAAGACAATATGTTGTGAAACTGTTGTTGCAGAGGGGAGACGGCATTTTGCAGCGCGGAGAGCCGTCACCGGCTGATCGTCAGCGACGAGTACCGGGTGATATCGAGCTCTCCATGCTCCGGCGGAGGAGCAACCCGAGGTTTCTAGGCATGATGATAGTAGTATCAGAGCACTGTAATCTACAGCTGTTGAGTTCAGGAAAGATTTTCCTGTTGACTCAAGAAAGCCATCAGTTTTGCATCATGAAGAACCAAAAGATGCACTGAGGTCTTCACATGTTCTTCATGATGATTAGTAAGAAAAAGATTGGCCAAAACATAGAGGGGATTTAGTCAACCAAATCAGAAAAAGACTAGAAAAGAAAAGAAGATCAATTGTGAGAAGGTCTTCACAAATCTTTTAAAGTTCATCATTTTGTTTTGTTTAGCTAACATTTTGCACAACAACTCAAGAAAAAGTTCATTACCTTTGTACTCCTTTTCTATCTCTTCTTCCCTTAGTTTCTGCCAAATGCTTGGCATATGATGCTTCAAATGTTTCACCCTCTACTCTTCTAATGCTTTCCCTCCCTCTATGACCCCCTCAGCCATTCATATAGTGGAAGAGAAGGTGAATAAGGGGAGGAAACAATGAAGTTTGGTAAGAGGGTAAAGAGGCAGATACATGAACTAAAAACGCGTGTCAGGCCGATCTCTGCAACTCAATTAGCTTCCAGATCTGAGGTAGAGTTCATTTATAAGTACAATTTACCAGGTTTTTACCAACAATTCTTTTCAAGAAATATGAAATTGAGAACAGATTGTTCATTACAGATCTAGCAAAGATCTTGAAAAGCACAACAAGCCAATGATCGAAAAGTTTAGCATATATCGAAACCAATTGTAGGATAAAAATTGCTAAAATCAGATGGCATTAGCTAGCAATAGTTCCAAATCTAAGCAGTTAACGCATCGAAAGAATGCATGCCGATTTTGTTTTTGAACTACTACCCGGGCGATCTGGTTCGACTTATAGAAATAGTCTTGTAATCTGCAGCAGTGATATTATACATTTTGACCCTCCTTAAACACCATTTTGATATTATATATTTTCAGTGCTGAAGTGCATCATCAAGGTTGTGATACTCTAGGATCTTTGAAAGAAATTGAATCTGGAATCCCATTCTTTCAAGGATTTCAAGAGCTCAACAGAAGAGTATGAAATGCACCAACAAATGTTTTTGCAGAAAAATAAACAGAGCTTGAAAAAGCACTAGAAAATATACATTTCAAGCTCACCATTTCAGACCTTCCTTACCGACAAGGAAGAAAAGCGGATAAAATGTGTCATTTGTGATTTTTATGATGTGCCAAACAAATATTTCCAAGGATATGATACTGCAGCAAGAACTTACTGACAAGTGAAATATTTGGCTCAAGTATATGCCATTCTGCTCATGTCATTCTGTTAAACAATCTAAAATGAGTCCTTATTAGTATTATATTTCTAGTTGCCGATGTGGTTTATGAGTTCATACTTGTCTGTTCAGATTCAGAGAGATGGAGAACTTTTTCTAACATCTAAAACACTAATTTGTATGCAATCACAGATAAAAGTGTTAATCCAGGATGCCAAACAATCATGTATATATTCTAATATTCACATTACTTTGACAAGTTATTTACTGTGGTTCCAGATTGTTCCTGTCTGGTATAGACTGTTCTGTCTAAATCACATTGGCATTTGCCAAAGGTGCAGGGATTTGCTTTCTTCACACTCTTACCTCTCCCCAGAGGCACACACTCACAAACTTATGCTGGTATGCGGCTTTCCAATCAAGTTAGGGGAATGTACCTGAAGCTCTTCCCCAAGTTAGTGGCATGTACATCAAGAGCAAAAATAATTGGTTAGTGGCATGTACAATAAGACCAAAAATACCGAAGAATCTAACTATGGTACTACCTCTTTGCTTCAGCCTACGTTGGACAAAAGATCTGATCGAAGCATAACTAATAGTTTCTTATTTTCTTTAAACTTGCCTTAGATGTGCACAAGGAAAAGATGATTCATCAAACAATGTGCTGAATTATTCCAAAATTTGTCCTATAGACACCGCGAAAGTTAATGGTAAGAAATGTTCAATTTGATTGTCACCACGGCACAACCGAACCTTCTTCGACTTAGCCTTTGCAAGTTTATCAACAGAATTCGTCGACCATACTGCTACTCTGTAACAATCCAATGCATGTTTGCATGTGTTTCTTATTCTATGTAACATTGAGGTTTTCCTTCATGTATAGAACTTTACACCTGCATGAACCCGGAAATTAGACAAAATCGAGTTAAGAATGAAGAGCTTTTGAGAACTTACCGAGATCATCTTTGTCAATTGGTCTCTAGATCTCTAGAACAATGACTGCAGGAAAGGTAAAAAAGCCAATCTTCCATTTAGCAGGTGTTCAAACATGCATTACCACATGTTGCTATTGCTCAAATTCCAACAGTAACTGAACTTACACTCTGAATCTGTCTTGACCCATTTACACTGAGCTTTCTTCTTATCTTCCTCTTCTCCTTCCCTTGTTCTCTCAGCTGGTTTATTCTCCAAGTATTTCTTCTCTGATGAAGCTGGAGCAGAGTTTGGTTGGGACATCTTCTTGGCAAGAATTGCCCTCAAGATCTGTTATGCAGCATTGTGAAGCACTACAAAAGTTTCACCATCAATTCCGAAAATTTTGGTTGGTTTGCAATGCATGGATTCATACCTTCTCCATCCTTGATTCAGGCGCGGGATCCCTAGAGCTCGGAGCTGGTGCAAAGCCACCACCGCATACAAACACCTTCTTGAGAAGAAAGGAGATGGATTTCTTCTTGATCGTGTTGCGGTTGCCCAACAAAGCATCTCTCAATTTGCTTAGCATGATCTTGGTATTCGGCGAGAGGTCACCATTGTTCTCATTTTCCGAGCACTCATGCTTTGTGTTTGCTGTCCTATCGACCTCCAAGCTTGACGGGCAATTCAGGAATCTGTTCAGTGGCAGGTTAGCTCGATCTTCTTCACCGATCTCCGATCCATTGGACTTGAGTTTCGACTTGCGTGTCAGAAGCTTTTTTAGTTCTTTCTGTAGTTTGTTAACCTCTTCGATCGTGAAGTCCGATAAATCTTGTGAGGAATCCAAGTCTTGGGAGTACTCAACTCTATGAGATTCTTCCTTCAGATCATTGTTGCCTAATGTCCCAATTGTCAACAGTGCTTGTGGCCAGTCATTGGGTTCTTCTTTCTGATTGCCAGACATTGAAGCATCTAAAGAACACAATTGAGATCAGTTTTCATTCAGCAAAGCTGAATTTTTGTAGCCACTGATCAATGTTATAATCATCTGTTGTTGTGAAAGGTGAAAGACATGATGAACTGGTGATATTCTTAGCATCTACAGAATCCTCTACAATATAATATCAAAGAAAAGGCAACAAAGAACAGACACATAAAATTCATAGTTATTTTGAGATATATAACTTATTTAGTGGAAACCACTGGAAACTGATGGAGGAAACAACAATCACTTGTATCAGACACAAATGCAAACATGGCAGAAACTATTTCATCCAAAAGTGAAGTGAGCTTTACTTACAATGGGCTGAACTCACTCCAGCATCAAATTTCTTCTTCTCCTGTCTGCCATGAAACTTGTTTTGCACCCAGCTGAGGATCTGAATACAAGACTCAAGTGCTATTGGAACCCTAACAGCAACATGGAAAAGCAAAATTCCTGGCTAGAAACATAAAAGCTACTTCAAGAGTTTCTAGTCCTTACTCTCATAGTTTCTTCAGTAGGAGTAGACAGCAAAGGCCTCCCTCTCTGTAGTCCAAGAGTGTCTGTGAATATAATGGAAGAAAAGAAAGAACAGATATCCTCACAACTCTGGTCTTCAACCAATAGGGAGTGTGGATGGTTAAATAGACTGGGAGAGCAGTGATGCAGAATCCCATATCCAATCTATACTGCTGGTCTAATGGCATCATTTCCTATTGTTCAAGTCCCTAGACAGAGACTTCAAGCCCCTGAGACATCTTTTTTCCTCTCTCTCTCTCTCTCTCTCCCTCTCTACAACAGATAAAAAAATAATGTTTTTAGCCACCTAAGCCACCCTTCTTCCACATATCTCCTAATAGATGTTGCATGACCATGGCATTTGGTTTGCAACACACAGGCATTGTGAGCATAAGATTCTGACATTAGCTTCTGCATCTTGAGCTTTTGCTGCAGATGAGCCCTTGAAGTTGCAGACATTTGATTGACATAGAAGAAGAGAAGTAATCACTGAGAAGTTGTGGGGAATTTGGGGTGCTCAATTAACATTAGCAGTCACCTACTCTTTCATGCTCTCTCTCTCTCTCTCTCTCTCTCTCTCTCTCTCTCTCTCTCTCTCTCTCTGTGGAGCAACCTGGGAGAAGAATATGCAGATAAATTCATCTCATTCCTTCTCAACACCCACATTCTTCCCTGGAAATCACAACCCTGCTGGAACACAGACAACCATGGCCAGACAGGGCCTTCAAAGGATAAGGCTTGGACATGACTGCTTGTTTCCTTGGTTACATACAGCCTTTAACCCATTTCCACCTCAGGGTTTCTAGCTAGGCTTGTGAACTTTCCACTTTTCCAAGCTCTTGATAGAATAAGCAAACCAAGAAAGATGTTTCATGTGCTTACAAAGACATAGTTAGCATTTCTAGGGTAATTTGTCAGTGTAGTTATGCATATGTTATGAGACTTTTCTATATTTCTTGACTTTAATCTCCATCAATTGATTATTAGAGAATGATCACTTTTAGGTTAAGAAGACATCATGATTATGATAATATTTGGGTCAATTGTGACCCAATTGGCGCTTGATCAATTATAATTTTTCCTAAACCAATTTGTTCTTTTTAATGTTCTCAAAATCAAATATCATGTGGGACACTCTTAACTATATGCAAGGACAGAGTACTACTGCCCCCCTACATTAAAGGATGCAACAATGTGAATCCACATAACTATATAATGATTATACATAAGCTTAACTTATGATTAAGTTTTTTTTCCCATCTTTAAGATGTTTATCCCATATATATATTCATATAATATGATTTGAACATTCTATATGATAAGTTATTTCACAATTTTGTAAGGTTACATGGAGTCTTATCTGTCTTGTGGTGCCAATGCTTGGAATAAACATTCCTGAACATGAATTGGGATGTCATGGACCTCCAAAGTTTTTTTTCTTTGCCTCAACCTACTGTTCTTGTTCTAATCTGACCATCAATTCCTATGGCTTAACTCTTGGAGGTTCATTGCACATATCAAAATATTTCAGCATCAGATATGAAGTGCAGCTATTGCAACTAGAACTGTAGCATAAGTCTACAGTTCCAAAGGCTATCCATCATACACTCCAGTCCTCATCAAGTTTGGGTTCACAAGTTAGATCTGGGAGATGGTATCTGATACAAATTTCAGGTTCCAGTAGCTCTACTGTGCAGCATAGAGACTATGAACTCTTAGATATGATCTGTAGCTTCTTCTGTAATCTGATCCACGACATTAAGCTTCGCATCACTCGCACTCAACACACCCACACTGACGCAATAAAACTATAAAGATGATTATTTTGACACGATCACAAGAAAGATCCAATTCGAACAGCCTTCACATTGCAGTGCAGTCGATAAAAGCGTCATGGAAAGGAGATCAATAATCTGAGGAGGAACCAAAAGCAAACTAAAAGTTCGAATGAGGATTAATGCATCAAAACCCAGAATCACAAGCGGTAGGAGAGAAGCATGCATACTTGTAGAGGCAACAAAACAGTATCAAGCGATTGCATTTGTTTGCTTGCAATCAATCACGCACGGTTACAGCAGCTTTTCACAGAGGTGAAGAGGAAGCTCCATTGAAGCAAGAGATGTGAGAGCATCGATGGGAGCTGACTGCCGTATCCTTTTTATTTTCCTGGGTGCAAGAGATTGAACAGCTCTGCCATGTGGTCCACTGGAGGACTAACCGGCGACGGGTAGGGTTTCCTCCATCTCCCTCGAGATGCATGTTGAGTGTGGAGGAGAGTTCCAAGTAGAAGAGAGCCAAGCCACCTCAGTCCAAGAGAAAGTGCATTGAGGAAGCCATGTGAGCTCGTCAAAGCTGCTCTGCTGCACACAAGTTAGGGTTCCAAGGTGCCTAGAGAACCCACAAGATACCTCCCCAAAATGGAAAGATCACAACTATCATTCATAAAATGTGTGTACATATTTAGAGTTTCATAGGCCACAGACAATGGCATGGTTTGACTTCTTGCCACTGGCTTTTGAAGATAAAAAGTGTGAGGAGGAGGAGGAGGAGCTCAGCAGTGACATCAAAGCATGTCAAGGAAACAAAAGATAAAGCTACAGCCAGCGAATTCCTCTTCAATTTATGATCTATTTAAAATAAATTTAAATTAGTTTTAAGGTTTTACCACAGGCTTCAAAATAAGAGTGAGTTGGAGTTCAGCAATGACATCAAAGCATGTGAAAGAAGAAGGAAACAAGAGAGCTGTTGTTTTCCCATTCAAGTTTCTTTCTATTAATTTTTTTTCTTTTTTACTCTAAATGTTGATAATAATGATGATGCATTTCCAAGCTGACTAGATGTGAAAAAGGTACTTATGCCCACTTCTGAAATTTAGTGGAGTAAAGCTTCACAGATCCCAGTTTAGGAACCAACTTTCTGTTTGTAACATTTTCCTTGGATTTTTCAATTGAGAAGGAAAATTGATTTACTCAAGAAAAGATACGAGTTAGAATAATGAATGCAGTTAAAAGTCTATTTAATCCACTGGGAAACTTGTCTCACAATGGCAGTGTACTTCTACTCCATCTTCCAATCTGTTTTCTTGTGTTCTAAATGTTTGAGAAAGAAAACTGCAGATAAATTCTTGTTCATGTAAACAAAATAATTCAATAGTTCAATAGGGCCATCAACCTCTGTTCCACCCTTTGCCTGAGATATGCTTGTATGATCAGTTCTACCAGCAGAAATTGGTAATGATTAGGACTTGAATTCCTCAACCATGAGTGTATTTTGTTTGGAAAAACCTATTCTTGATATTATCAAATACAACTCATAATTTACAAGCCAGTAGCATCAAAGGAAGAGGACCCCTGGTACTCTATAAGGGTCATAAGCTATTCTTGACACTTCTATGCGATTTGGATCAGATGATACAGATGAAAATACAACCGTAAATACAATACATTATAGCAACTGACAACAGAGAGTAAACGATAGGCAAATGTACATAGTTAATAACATAATATACAAGTGCAGAACAAGGGAAGAAATCAGACTAATCGGAGCCGAAGCATAACTCGGTGCAGCACTCTGAACAGGCAAGGCAAGATAGGGCTGTGCAGAGCTGTGTCATTACAATCACAAGCTGATCATTCAGCCTAGAGCAGGTCTTTATGAAGCATGGGCAACAGCAGCAGTAGGCTATCCTGTTACAGCAGCCAATGGCCTTGTTGTAGACGAGGGAGGTGGCAGGCTCTTTAGGCTCTCCAAGCACCGTAGGGTGATTTTCTATGGTTGCAGTTATATCTCCAAATCCAATGGCCATATCTCGTACCAAAATTAACAAGTTATCTTTGGAGCCAGCATGCTTTCTTGAATCTCTTTTCTTAACCTGTTGAGTTTTGCAAATTACATCAGCTCAAGCATTGTTGTGGTGAGACATGATGCATAATTTGTAGTGGCAGGTTTGCCTAGAACTTAATTCAAGCATAGTCAGCAAAATGATTATTATTGCAGGATCAAGAAAACTGTAGGTATCTTTTTTATATGAAAATTTAACATATATGATGGAAAAATATAAGGCAGAAATCTATGGAGTGTTGAAACTAAAATAAGTATCCAGCTTTTATCATATCAGAGTTCTCTTACCAAAGTCTTTGCTGTTGATGATGGAACTTAATACTGGGAGATTTGCTTAAAAGGACATCAGTAAGGGATGAGAAGTGAGGCAATTCAAATAACATGATTATGATATCTTAAATATATGAATCTAAAACTTTTCTTTATCTACAACTATTCTGAAGTGGAAAAACCAGAAAAAGAAATATTCTGATGGCATGCAGCTATTCATTAGAAATGATTGTTAGACATTGCCATAGACCCGGTTAAGCCTAATGACCATAAATATTAGCAGTGATGCAAACTCTCTTTACAATTTAGAATCATTAGCACGCTTATTCAGTTTAATGTTTATGGCATGTAGAATAACTACTTTATGGGGAAGATCCTTTCATTTAAACAATATACTGAAGGCCCAGAATAATACATTAGTGAAAATTGCAATAAAAAATAGTTTAAATTTTAATTATTAGATCATCAATACCTTTTTAAGTGACTCGTCCTTTTCTGTTTCCTTTTGAAGAAAGACCATACATGTATACTCCGATGGAATGCTACTTTGTATGCTCAATTTAGTAACCTATGGAATGAAAAAGAATAGAAACAAAGTATAAGAACTAGCAGCACTTATAATTTTCCATCTAAATATTGGAGCAGGCTGCAACACTACAGCGAACAAGCAGATGTGAAACCAAAAATTATGTCTTGGCGAATTAAAGGAAAACCTATTTGACAATATTGAAAAAATCTTAGTTTCACTTTTCTGAGATAAAATAAAATTTCAAGTGTTTGAGCTTATTAATTTGTGTTTGAGCTTACTAATTCAGCAAAAGAAATGGAATTTGCTTGGCATAATAAAAAATAGTGAGGTACTAAGTAAATAATATACAAGCATAAACAGAAGTCATCGAAGATGATCCCATGCAAGCATAGAGGTTGTTGCCATTACCAACTCTTAACATCCGAGGGGGCAACCATGTCAGGGTGCCAACACTCTCCTATATAATACCTAATATATTAATTCTTTTACTAATTCATTTTAGTGACTACATCCAGGGGGACAACCTTGTCAAGGTGCTGAGCATAAATTGGCCGCCGAAGGAAATGACAGTACAATGAGTTGCTGAAACCATCAGCGTACTTAAGGTGGGACTTGCAGACCTGCAGACTTCCATCTTGTCCATAAATTTTCTCAAATTTAAAGAAGTAAGCCCACATTAGTTCTCTATTGAGTCCCCTACTTCTAACAGAGCAAAATGCTCTATGTGGCTTGCATTGAAGTGTAGGACTCATTCCAGCTATGCATTAAATAAGAAGTAAAGACAATTTGATACGACATGCAATTGGTGTGGCATGTTGAGGATGATGACCACAGCCAACGAGCATTCTATCGAAGGATGGTCGGATAAAGATCCTAAGAGCAATTGAAATCCATATGCTCTCAGTGGAAATATCAAACTTGTGGCAGACCTGGAGGAAGTAAAGAGCAAAGGCAAGGCGGAGATCCACATGATATGGATGGAATCTTTGAAAAGCCAACAATATGAGAATTTTCCAAAGATCAATTATCGTAAACTGCATTATTGGAAAGTTAAACAGAAGTTTGACTCACTAGTGAGTTAATGTGCCTACAAAGAGTTCAGTGGACTTTAGAGACTTTTGTGCCTTGTAAAAATGTCTTTCTTGTAATTTTCTTCTTTTCTTCTCACTCTAGCATATCCTCATCTTTTTCTCTTGTACTAATTTAATGTTAAATCAAATAAATCCACAGTTTTGGACTATCTTTGAATTGAGAGAAAAGTTTCTTGTTCATGAGCTGACTGAACAATTAAACTTGAATGTACAAGGTTACACATATAACCAAGTTTTCATATTTCAAAATTAAGATAAAAGAATTGAGTGTGGATCCTCATTTTGCACAAATGGTAAAGAAATGAACATAAAATGCTATGAAATCATCATCATGATACAAACCACAAGATCAAGAACCATCAGAAGAACAAGTAGAGCTACTTAACAGCCGCAAAAATTACAATATATGAGCTCCTGTCCACGAGATATACACCATGACTAGACTAGTAACTGAATATGCAAAGTAAGAACTCAACAAATTGAAGTCTCATTCTCAAGATCCAAATTGTTTTCTTTTTTACAATAAATGATAAATCTGATGCTTATCTTTCGAATGAATCACTTCTAATTTGTAGCAAGAAGTCTTGTGCAATATCTAAAAAGTGTTTTGATTCATTATTCATTGATTTCTAGCTAAAGCATACTGATATTTACTGAATATTTACTCTTACGAAATTATAATTCACTGAAAAAACCATAAAACAGGATTTTTTTCCCCTGAATCTTTAAACCTTGGTTATAAAAGTCGACATCAGTACAATGGTGGGCCCACAGAAATGGTTTCTCTGCTAATACAAAACAGTTAGCCACACACATTAAGGTCAAAGCAAGAATATAATATTTTAAACGAAACCTAAAAAAGCATGAAAAACCTATGAGGTTATGACATAATTTAGTTAATTTGCATATTTAACTGATATAGTCATATAAGAAATTCTTGTTACAAGTGTCACATTAGGTGTAGAAGCAACAAACCTTTTCCTTAAGCTGTTTGCTTTCAGAAAACCATGCCTGAGCTGTAAGAAGATCTATATGCTGATTAACAAAAGCCTGCAAAGACAACATTACTTAGGAAAATTATTGATCTCTCTCTTTACTAATTTTGATATGAATAAAAAGGCAAATACATGGGCATAAACATTATACCAAAAGCAAAAAGCTGTCATTTGCAACATAGGAATTTTGTCCTAAAATTTCTCTTTTTAAATAAAGAAATTTGCAATCCATGAATGTTATACAACTTAATGTGGTTGCATAAACTATGGTACCGATTCCACTCTAAATACATCTTCCTTTGTCATTCTCCGTATATATGGTGCTGTAAGTACTTGTTTCTCCTCAGAATGATGTACGGAGATTGTAAGAAGGTACCATCATTATTGGCATAATGTGTATATCTCATCATTCATCAGTTTTCTGAAGTTTTTGTTGAAAATTGAGAGAATATTGATGGATGACACTGTTATCATAAATGACTTGACAACTTTAACAAAGAAAACTGCACAGTGCTGTGTATTCATGTTTTCTCTTCCATGAAATGAACTAAAAATGTCACAGTGAGTTCTTAGTAGCAGATTTGATTGATTTAAATCTTCTATGCTTTCTCCATTTCTAGAAATTCTGAACGACAACTTGAAATAATAAGTCGGTTCTAATTTAAAGATAAAGTAGATGTTCTTCTGGGTATACATCCAAATTGAAACATTTTATCAGACAGAAGATCTAGAATGATGTCAGCCACTCAATAGGCATGTCAAGGCACCTTTACTCCATCCAAATGTACGACATAATACACAAGGCAATACCCAGTTGAAAGTTGAAACTACAAATTCACAGTGAGACATTAGCTCTCTCAGAATCTCACCGACAGAAGCAGAGATCAAGATAGATAGCGGTTCTAAATCTAATTGGCCAATAACTACTACCACAAGAAGATGGTACCCCTTTTCTTTTTTTGTGAAGAGGATTGCATCAAGGTCAGGTCACTCCAAACAGAAATAAATGGAAATATATATTCTGAATATTAATCTTAAACATGCTTGGAAGAGTTGTTTACATACGTGACAATCATTGTGTCCTCATCGTTAGTTCACCATGTTTAAGGTGTGTCAGATATATGAAAATCTAACAAAACAACAGATGCCATAATTCAGTTCAACTTGTTGTAATGTGATAAAGAAACCTTTCTCCAAAATAGCCATTGAATTTTGTGCATGTAGATAATGACAGACATTTACAAAGAGAAAAAGATAGAAGTGCAAGTTTGTTGCAACATTTTTTTTCTCTGTCTAGTGCATATCAGAGTCTCTGGTACCAAAGCTGTCCTAGTTTACTGACATGACCCAATTCCTACTAATGTTCTAACACATGGTATGTCGATGGATGACATGCAAAGGAGGAAGAAGAGGAAGAGGAGTGAGCCAGCGAAGGCGGGCAGGCAGCAAAGGGCTTGGGCTATCAAGACAAAGAGAGAGAGAGAGAGAGATCTTTCTCTCTCTCAGTCAACTGAATGTAGCAGAGGGAGATCTTTCTCCAGATAGATGGAAAACCATATAAAATATACTGAAACTTTTAAGTAAGATTTAAACACAGTTGTGGTTTTCTCTATACTCTAAGATGCTCTTAATAAATTAAATAAAGGGAACCTAGTTATATATGAATTTTGAACCAGGGTGAGGGGGAATTCTGAAAATAAGCATATGTGCTCAAAAGTTTTAATGATGACTGGCTCTGCAACAACATGGCACATGACACAGCATATATTGCCGGTTCATGCCAGCATGGGCATCATGTGATGCCACTCCAACCAGATGCCAAGTGGGCACCATAGAGCAGCAGGAAACCCCATGGTCATGTATACCACAAATATTCGGCAAAAAAATGACATTGAACATGCTAACAAGGGAAAATATAGTGAATATGTCATAAATAAGTTCATATGATGAAAAGTAGAAGGATTAAACAGGCATCTTACTTTCTCAAGAGGGAAATCTTTTGTGTTCTGCACCTTCATGTCAATAAAAGTATCACTCATGTCAGCCAAGATTCCCTTAGCTTGAAGAGTTTCTGGGAACTTGCCATAACATCTGCCTGATATAATCAATGGGCATTGACCCGAGAGATCTGGAATATGGATAGGGTATACCTGAAAGAAAACCAAGCAAGCTTCAATACTATTTTGTCAAAAAAAAAAGGACCATAAGAAAGAACATCGAAAAGAAAAATAGTGCACGCCCTTACGTGAAGCAAGTGAATCATAAATTGTTTGATAATGAGATAAAATGGATCTATAAAGCAAAACCTTACATATCATCGAGCTAGGCAAATAACCTGAATAAGTTGGACTCACCATAAGTGGAAGTTATCAAAGCGGTGTGTAATCCACAAACCTATGTCAACTGATCCTTTTATACATTGTATTCAATATTCACTATTTTCATGCCCATAAAGCTGGTATACTACTCCAGAAATGAATGCATAGAGTCCCTTATTGGTCTGCAAATGTATACATACTACTCCAGAAAGCTGGTTATGATATCATAAAAGAAAGGTTATGAGATCATGAAACAAAGGAGAAATCCAGAAACTTAAGAATTAAGGTCAGTAAATGGAGGAGGGAAATGTGAATGGTGGCATTGCAAATGACCATAATTAAAAGATTTTAGCCATTGCTGATCCTTTCTCCTGTGATGTCAGGTTCCAAACATTTCATGCCTGAAACATTCTGATAATTTGGATTTAATAATGATTTTTTATGCATTACTCATTAAGAAAAATGGTGAAGGTTGTCAATTAAAAATAGTAAAAAATAATGATATTTCAAGGAAATGAGACTTTGCGATGTAAAGGACATTACATAAAAGAAATGAATGCATAGAGTCCCTCATTAGTCTGCAAATGTATACATACTACTCCAGAAAGCTGGTTATGATGTCATAAGAGAAAGGTCATGACATCATGAACAAAGACGAAACTTAAGAATTAAGGTCAGTAAACGGAGGAGGGAAATGGGAATGGTGGCATTGCAAATGACCATCATTAAAAGATTTGAGTAGCCATTGCTGATCCTTTCTCCTGTGATGTCAGGTTCCACACTTTTCATGCCTGAAACATTCTGATAATTTGGCTTTAGTAATGATTTTTTATGCATCACTCATTAAGAAAAATAGTGACCGTTGTCAATTAAAAATAGTAAAAAATAATGATAATTCAAGGAAATGAGACTTTGCGATGTAAAGGGCATTACATAAAGCATAAAGTAACAGAGAAAATAACAATATCACACAACATGGATGAGACCTACAAGATTAATTTAGATTTTAGAATCCAAAAAAGAGATATTATGGAAACTCTTGCACTATTGAAACCAGTACAACATCTTAAGTTCTGGAGCAACTTCAATTTCAAAATAATAGCCAACAGCCATGTGAGAAATCACCTCAATTTGCATGCACGATTAATAAGTAAAAAATATGGCCTAGAACATGAAAGAGGCCCAATGAAGGGGATGTGCTGTTTCTGCTAAACAATGGTGGGGCAATTGGTCACTGTATTCCATCCCTGTTACCACTTGGCACTCAATTGTAGAAACTCACTATTCCAGAACATACCTCAAATTCATCAAGATAACTGAAGAAGTCAACAGTCACATTCGCAACGATGGTGGATGAAGCTCTATGAAACCATCTTTGAATACACATTTCAATTAAATCTAGAGATAAATTAAAGCTGCAATTAGATTGACAAAAGAGAAATCTAGAAAACTATTAGGATTGACATCATCTGAGAAATTTAAGTAAATACAACCAATAATGTCTCTAGAACACTATTTTCTAAAATGCTAACACAGATGCATTATTATGGATAGGCACATCCACCTACAATAAAACATTATATTTAACAAAGCAGAGGTTAAGAATCCACCATTAAATGCCCACCTGCTATTTCAACATGCCATTTTAAAGTTTTAACAGGCTACCGGTAGAAAGAAGGAAATTTCTTATTCTGGAGGATGATTTAGACAATTACTAGGGGAACTCAAATGACATAATTCAAAATTGATCCAATTAGGCCTACCCTAGGAAGACATCAATTTACTCAAAATGCATATTGATCTTTACATTTGAAAACCACAAGATATAAAGTACCACTATCCCAAAGAATTTTATAACTTTGTTTCCTTGGGATTATCTAATAAAAAATCTTAGTTACAAACATTGACAACAAGCACCATAAACATAGTTATTAAACATTACTGCTCATCACTTGTATTAGCATTTAGGACATGTGAGAGGCTTGAAGTCGTCAAGATTACGATGTGACATGACTATAAAATGTTACACTTGATGCCTGTTTTGTTTAGAATGACCAAGACCCTGCACTTGGTCGGTTTAAGAATTCAAAGAAGTAGGATAATCTACTACTTGACAAGGTTGCAAATCTACTACATCAATGTAGATAAGTTTCCAAAAAGAACAGAGTTGTTAACATGGAGGGAACACAAATGAAAACTCATCCACCTGCCCAAACCCATTAGATGACAGAAGATGATGATGATGATCAAGTACACTCAGAAACTGCTAATTGAGGCACTTTGAAATAACACTAGTAAAATTAAGAGTCATATAATTCTTTCTTTTTTTTAATAATATATTTTTATCCATTTGTTTATATCTCTTACACCACTAATCTAGTTAACTCACCTTGTCTAATTGGTATATTTTTAGATCTCCTTCAAACAAGTTCAAACCACCTTAAAATGGTTTTCCCACATTTTATCATCAATAGGAACAATCCTTCATTATTCACAGATGCAACCACTTCTTATTTTGGTTTTTCTATTAACTCCAAAGATCTATCTTAACATAGTCATGTGAAAGATAAATCGTCTTTTAATATATTACTTTCTAACTTCCTACATTCATACTTGTACAAAAAACTAGAAAGTTAAGATTTGTGTCATAATAATCAATCAGTATCCCTACATCAACTGTGAAGGTTCACTAGATCAAGATTGGGACTGGTTTTGGCTCTGAAAATTTGTCGGATTGACCAGATTAAATGATGGATTGAAGTCAGTTCAATACTAATTTTTAAATTAAGAAAATAAAGTTTTATAAAAAAACAAAAATAGAAAATATGGAAACATCATATATTTTTTAGATAAGTTGAAATATTCTTGGCTAAGAAATGGATACGTTCAATTATTATTCTATGTGCATAATAACACAAAAATAAAATTATATTATCTTTGGACTTATATGCCATATTATAACTATATAAGTGCTATTTTGCAAACTAGCCCAATTTTTTTTTCTTCTGAATGTCTCCAATCCTCTTTTAGTTAAAACGATGTTTAGTGCTTCCAACATATGGACAAAGAACATCTTATCACCAATGGATGGACAAAAGTACAGGCAAGAAAAATATAAATACATGACAAGTGAAATGGTTTCAAGCACGGTCTCTGCAGAAAGGATAATACTGAGGAAGAAGCCATAATATGGGTGCCTGAAGAACCCAACAAATTTGAAAAAAGCAACTGACCTGAATCATATGCAGCATCATACTGTCCCCTCCCGATTGATGCCAACATTTTCAAGAAGTAATGGTTGCAATAAGAACCTAATAAAGAATTTCCAGTGTGACAAAAAAAAAACAAGGGAGTCTAAATTAGTACAGAGAAAAGCCCTGATGGTTTTTCTTAAAATAGTAGTTCAACAAATGAATAGTATAATTGTACGACACAATATTAGTTTAGGGATTGATAAGTTAATCAAGGTATAAAAAGCATAAACTTCAAGAGCACAGAGAGGAAAAATAGAATAAAAACCTTGATTTTCATAAGAACCTACCTCTCAAAACTATCAAAAGCAAGGACTGTATAGTAATCATTGATAAATTTTAAAGACAAGCCTAGATCAGATAAAAGGAACTATCTTACACATGTGATAAAATTTAAAATATAATGAAATGATTTGCTAGCGACATTTAGTATTCGGGAAACAAATTTCCAGTGAAGTTGCAGATTACAATGATCACTTCTGAGTGTGTGCAAGATCTGGACTATGCAACATTCTAGTTGCAGATAATGGTTCTGGCCATGAATACAACCATCAACAACAAGAGTAGTTATTCAAATTATTTCAAAGAAAAAAATTTTGATTTGCAGTTACATTTGCAGTCAGTCTCAAACTTAATTTTTTTGTCAACCATTTCAATTACAACCAAAATACATCAAAAGCAAGTTGCCAGTAGTTAAAACCAGAGCAGACCAATCTGAGAAATCCTTTACCACCAATTTTGGTTTCGTAATTCTGATTCAGATTATTAAAACCACTACGTAATTTCATGAAAAACGAAAAAAAAAAAACAGCAGTTGAGATTTTTCACACAAACATCTAAATTGAAGAGTGTTCATGGTCTGTCGTACCGAGCTGTACTGCCCGGTATGGGCGGTACGTACCGGTCCGACAGGTTGTCGGTACGCGGACCGTCTATTACCGGTCCGAGTGTAGTGCTGCTACAGTACTCAGCACACCTGGGTGTACCGCTCGGTATACCATACCGTACCGGTACCGGGCCTAGGTCGAAATACCGGTACGGTACGGTATTGCGAACCTTGGTTCATATTCACTATAATTAACCATTACCTACACCGAAAGTTGAAATTCAAGTAGAAATTGATCCGCTATTACATTTGCAGTTACATTTGCAGTCAGTCTGAAGCTTAATTTTTTTTGTCAACCATTTCAATTACACCCAAAATACATCAAAAGCAAGTTGCCAGTTGTTAAAACCAGAGCAGACCAATCTGAGAAATCCTTTACCACCATTTTGGTTTCATAATTCTGATTCTGATTATTAAAACCACTATGTAATTTCATGAAAAACAAAAAGAGAAATAGCAGTTGAGATTTTTCACACAAACATCTAAATTGAAGAGGAGTGTTCATATTCACTATAATTAATCATTACCAAGTTGCCAGTTGTTAAAACCAGAGCAGACCAATCTGAGAAATCCTTTACCACCATTTTGGTCTCATAATTCTGATTCTGATTATTAAAACCACTATGTAATTTCATGAAAAACAAAAAGAGAAATAGCAGTTGAGATTTTTCACACAAACATCTAAATTGAAGAGGAGTGTTCATATTCACTATAATTAATCATTACCTACACCAAACGTTGAAATTCGAGGAGAAATTGATCCACTATTTTCCAGATGTGTTTTAAGAGTATGACAGATGTTGCGCTCGTTTTCAACAGCTCCATCAGTTATGAGAAAAATTTGCGGAATTGAATTTTTTGTACTTGACAGCAAACCTACTGCCTATGAGGAAAGAATCAGAAGAATCAATATGCAGAATTTGCTTACAATGTTTGTAAGAAAGAAAAGAAATAAAGAACACAAATATTGAATTTAATGTATGCATGAGAGCAAGTTAAGCACATCCTACTGCTACAGACAAAAATTCAAACAGATGGCATCAACATGGTAATATGTCATATTTGTTTACCTCATTTAAGGGGTGCATTATGTCTGTTCCACCCTCTGCAACAAAATTATTGTTCATCCACTGGATAGCATTTTCTATCGTATCTGCAGTTGCAGGCTCCAAACAGGATGAAAAAGAGTGCAACTCAGCATTGAAAGCTATTATATCAAAATAGTCTCCTGGTCTGAGCTCCAACAGTGATGTAGATAATGCACTCTTAACATTCTCGATGGGCTTCCCCTTCATGCTTCCACTTATGTCAATGACAAAAACAACTTCATTTTTGAAGGCCTATCACATTAGAACCAAAAGAGTAAAGATAGAGAATTTACAAGCTAAAATAATTAAATCATTTTCACAAAAAAGGAAAACTTGGTGAAACAATATTTACATGTATCCTAAATTCCAAAATATATGCAAGTACTATATGTTATGTATTACTTTTTTGTACATCAATGCTTAGATCATTTTCAGAAGAAAATGCAAACAAGGAAATAATTGAGACTATAGTGCCAACAAGAAATGATAAAGCTAAAATATTCTCCAAAAACCAGGGTTTTGATTAGGGATCGCCTTTTCACTCAGACCGGTACGAAATAGGCACACGTACCAATCTAAGCATTGGCCGGTACATGGACCCACCTTGGTCTAGTTCGCCATATAAGATAAGTGGTAAACCCTAATTCCCACTTCTCACGCAAGCGTCATGGCTCACAAGCATCGACTTTGCCTCCATAGGGCTTACGAGCGGTACCTCCGCCTTTGTAGAGCTTGCGAGCGTCGCCTCCGATGCTACGCTTCTCACGCAAGTGGCTACTAGACCAGGGTGTGATCGCGACCTCACTGCACCAGGTAAGTCATTCACCTCTTCCTCTTCCTTCTTCCTTCCTCCTCCTCCACGGACCGTCGCTTCTTCTGCTTCCCTCTTTCTTCCTTCGTCCTCCAATGTACCCTCCTCTTCTCCCTTTTTTCTTCCTCTCTAAAACACCAATACTTACTAGTGTACCATGTGTCGGTACAACGGTATAGACCGGTACATACTGACCCGACAAATCTTCGAGTCGAGTCTTGTACCCTATTTGGCAAACCCTGGTTTTTATAGTAATACTCGCAAAAGTAATGGTAATACTCAACCCATTAAGATTCACACAAACATAAATATTCTGTTAACAGACTTCTAGAACCATTCATCATAAACTAATATTTATAATGTCTCCTCACACCTTTCACTAATGCCTCGACCTATTAAGATTGACACAAACATTAATATTTGGTTAATGGACTTCCAAAACCATAAATCATAAATTATAATTAATAATGTCTCTCCTCATACCTTTCACTAATGCCTCATCTTCTGACCATATGATCCTCTCACTTAAAAAAAGGTGGTACTGCACCTTGGCCTCTAATACGTTGATCTTTCTTTCTTACTTTTTTCAAGTCCTACTTCTAACAATCCTTTTTTCTATTTAAGATATATATATATATACACACACACACACACATATATATATATGCAAGGTTTGTTGTACCATGATATATCGCTCGGTACCAACGATACATACCAGTCCAACAAGGGATCGGTATAGGCGATATATATATGTCGGTACACCCTACCATACCATGTGTCGATACATCAGTATATACCATACCGATAGCCAATCAGTACACCGATACGGAACGATAAAACAAACCATGTATATATGTATACATATATGTGTACACGTATACGTATATCAGTGATTTAAAAAACGCTTGGCGTCAAAAGGTGCCAAGGTCCCAAAACGCCCTAGGCACTCACCCAAGCGAAGTGAGGCACTCTAAAATATTAAAATATAAAAAATAATATTATTAATCTAATAAATAAAGATTATTTTGTACAGTAATTAATAATATACTGTTAATAGTATATTATTTACTATTAACAACAATTAGAAGGGAAGAGTATAACTGTTAAAAGGGATAAAAAAGATCACCCAATGAAACCGACAGTGAGAAGTCAGAACTCAGAAGAGAAGCAGCGATGAGGAGCAATGGACAACAATAGTGGTAGCAGAGTTGTGGATAGCAACAAGCAATGTTCAACAGTAGCGATAGCAGCAGCAGATAGCAACGGCAGATAGCGGACAACAGCAAAAGCTGAGGAGACTCAATCGACGACAGAGGAAGACTCGAAGGCAGTGGGAGAAATCGTCGGCGACGAAGGCAGAGGGAGAAATCGTCGACGACGAACGTAGAGGGAAAAATCATCAGCGGAGGAGGCAAAGGGAGAAAGCACATGCTAGGGTTGGGAGTTGAGGTCGCGCACAGGTTTTGAGGTAACTGCGTGCATTAGTTGGTTCAATCGAACCAACTAACGCACATTTAACTGAACCCGATTACCCTATATCAACCAGGCGACGCCTTACTGAAGTGTGCCACCTGGACCTTATATGAGGCGCTTGGGCCTCGCCTCACCTCGCCCATATATACATATATATATACATACACACACACACACACACATATATATATATATATATATATATATATATATATATATATCTGTTTTTTTAACTCTGTGGATGTTTGTGAAAGTAAAAAGGCAAAAGTTGTTGCTTTTGTTAGCATTGGTTGCACTTACTTGGCCACCTTAAGGCCAAACAATCAATGGCACCTAACCCAATCATTTAGCTCATATCTTTTAATAAAACATTAGATCAGACTGGCTAAAGACAATCATATAAGAAGATAAAGCATAGATGGTGTTCCCTTGTGGTATTCCATGGTCGACACTATCTTTGGAGAGACACCAACACCAAATCGAAGAGAGCAAATGTAGTCTTGTTGAATGCTCTTATAGATGAATCTCTCATGGGCTCACATTTGGGATTATAAGAGGCTTGAAGTCTATAGATAGGTATTGTGGACAATGATGAATGATGTGTCATTGTTGGACAATGATCTAGAGGGCTTTAACCTTATGAACTTGGAGAGGGAGTTGGTTATAGTCACTATCTAATACCCTATTCTGGAGGAAGAATTCATTGTCGTTAGTTGATTGCCTATTCTCAGCTGGTCTGTAGTAACCATGTTGTACTTTTTTATGCTACTGATAAGTGATGGCCTAATCATTTCATCTGTCTCTTAAAAAAACCTCCATGAGTGAAATAGGACAGTAGACTAGTTCAGATTCCAAAGATATAGGCATGAACGATTGGTCTGTAGTAACCGCTCGCTCGCTCCAGCAAGCTTGTATGAAAAAGCATGAACTGGCTATTATGATCTCTGTTAGTACTCTCTACCTGCCTCCAAAAGAGTAAATTGACCTTTAGGACAAACTACATCAGGAATTCTAAATTTTAAAGCTGTTTCCGAGTCGCCACTACCAGACAGTGAACTAGTACATGAAATCAAATGTTGAAGAAAATGTTCAAAAATGACCAGAAATGTAAAATATTTGTTATCTTAGATCTAGTATTCAACAAGAAGGAAATGAAAAAGATAATGTTTATATAAGAAAAGTTTGGATGGTTAAGAAGTGGTGCATTCTGTTGCATGTAGCAATAATTAAATACATATTCCAACAAAAGGAAACTCATTATCGTAATAATTTTACAACTAGGTACAAATTATGCTTCAAGAAGTTGGAACTTTAGAAGTGAGAGGACCATAAGGTTGGTTAATGGTACCAGGAAAGGTAAAGTGAAAAATTAATGTACTAGTGGTAAGTGACAGGTATGCTTAGCTGATCATAAAATGAAAAGAACAAATAAGGATTACAGTATTTGTGATAATAAGAGAATTACATGAAAAATGAGCAAAAAAATCATCAAAGAAGATCCGGACATATCAGAGAAAAATAAAATATTGCGTGTGCAAATAATGGAAGATACTTCAATTCCTGTTAAACGTTCCAACTGAAAGAACAAGGAAAAGAAGGTTGGCGACATTGAAAAAGAGAATGTGATTGTTGGATTATCTAATTGACACCAGGAAAGCCAAACGGCAGGAAAAAATTGCATGCAGCTGGTTCTATACAATTAAGAATAAAGACTTCCTTGAAGTGTAATTTCAGTAATTTCCAAGCAGCTGTTGTCTTTCAGAGAAGAATTGTGTACCCACTATAAAGTTGTTGTTGATAGTCAAAGAATATGTCAAAACTTCAATTAGACCTCCCTTGGTTCAAATATTCTCTAAATTCAACGTCTCAAAATTTTATGTGACAAGTAAAGATCATAATGATGATGACATCAAGAAAACAAGCATTTACTTTTCATAGTCCTGGTCCAATCAGCAAGACAACAACATTTTTTAATGGAAAATCTCAAATTTCTTAGCTTCGCTTGTTATTTTACAATTATTTATCAAGCCTGTCTTACTTCTGAAAAGCTAGCCTACTTAAAGTTTATATTGTTACATGAAACATGAGTTAGAATCTTGCAGTGTTGGTCATTGAAAATCTGAAGCCAAAATTTATATTGCAAGCACAAAATACAGGGAGCTATATTTCGAGTTGAAATTTGAAATTCACAGAGAGATTAACCTTTGTTTTCTGGTTACTTCCTGGAAAAAGATAAAGGCTGAACATCTCTCTCTGGTCAACGTCATGTGTTGTTGGAGATTTCAATAGTATGCCACCGAAAAAATCATCTGAACAAATCTGTACAAGATAGGACAAGAAATGTAATAACAAAAGTAGTAAAAATTGCTTATCTATTAACTAATGCATTAAATGGGCAAATAACAAATAACTGCAACAGAACATTCAGTAGTCTTCTTTGTCATATTCACATCAATATAGTAGAAGGAACTATGCCCATCTTTCCTAAGCTATCTTTGGATAAAATCCATGTATAATTGACCATAGTTCTCAAAAAGAGTTAGCACACAGGTCTCCTAATGTATTATGTTACCTCTAGCTGTTACACATTTATCTTCTTTTCACTTATCATATATATACACATTTTGAACATTGTATAATAAATTGGTTAAGCATTTATTGACTCTATCATTTATGTGGTTTTCTGCTCATTTGTTCAAGTCATGTCAGAGAGTCATTTTATTTGGACCCTTAATTCCCCCATCATTGTTCCACAAGTTTTAAAAAGTAAAACCACATATGAATATATATATATATATATATATATATATATATATATATATATATATATATATATATATATATATATATATATATATATATATATA